GACCGATGCAGTAAGGGGTTCTGAGGTAAAGGAAGAAGATGAATTCAAATTACAATTTGAATGGCTATTAATGACAAGATTGAGTCATTAACTACGTTCAATAAGCAGCAATCTAGCAGGGAAGTCACACAGCCCACGTGGAAGAAGCACACCAACCCTGTGATCACGGGTGTCAATGGCGTCAAGTATCAGGCATCCAAAGACCCAAAACAAACAACCATATTGATGCAAATGAGGGGGGCCAGAGTGAAGACCCAAAGCCCATGTGTAGACAATTGGAGATCTCCTCACAGAAGAGTCACAGGAAGGGACAAGTCAGTCTGGGTGCAGTTTCACACTGACGAAACACACAACATTCCTCTAGTTCTTTAATGTCTCCTCCGCCCACTATCATGAGCCCAGTTCTATCTTACAAATCTGGCGAGACCAGAGCCTGAACACTGGTACAGCTAGATCTAGACACACAAAATCCAGAACAGATAAACCCCTGAAGAACAGTAATGGTCTAAGATATGACAAAATAATAATTTATAAATTATCAAGGGTTCATGAGGGAGGGGGGAGGGAGGGGGAAAAATGAGGAGCTGATGCCAGGGGCTTAAGTGGAGAACAAATGTTTTGAGAATGAGGGTAATGAATGCACAAATGTGCTTTACACAATTGATGTATGTATGGATTGGGATAAGAGTTGTATGAGCCCCTAATAAAATGATTTTTTTTAAAAAGAAAAAGAACAGTAATGGTAGTACCAATACCATGAGGGTAGGGGGAAGGTGGGGGAAGAAAGGGGGAACCGATCGCAGTGATCGACCTATAACCCTGCCCTCCAGTGGGGACAAATAACAGAAATGTGGGTGAAGAGAGACAGTGGACAGTGTAAGATATGACAATAATAATGAAAATATAATATAATTTATCATGTTCATGGGGGGTCAGAGGCGCTAATACCAAGGTCTCAGTAGAAAGAAAATGTCTTGAAAATGGTAGCAACAATGAAAAATACAA